CTACGCGTAGCTGATGCTTGCGATTTTGTCGTTTACTCTGACGATGGCTTCTCGGGTGGAGCCGAAAGCTCAGAATAAAACAATCGTTCCAGAGATCGCGTCTTCCTGTTCTTTACAACAAGAACCTGGGGCAAGCATATTGGCTTCTATTCGTCAGACTCTTCAATTGGCTTTTCAGCGTAACTATGTCGAACACAAAAAGTAGTAAGTATACTTTCTTTAACTTCACAGCGAAGCATCTGCTCTTTCCTCGTCGACTTTTTCTGGATTAGACGAGACAAAACAGACGTGAAAGCAGAAGGCGGTGATGAAAGCGACAGAAAGAATCCAAATCACACAGACACCTCGCTTTTTACGTCATCGGCAATGCACACCTAAACTGTTAAACCATGCAGACATTGTACGGTATGCCGCCGGCCTGCAGTTATACAATGAATTGTAACAAAAAACCGACAACCTCCACTTAAGGGGTTTTTGACGGTGTCTGAGAAGTACAACCAAGACTGCCTAAAACTGCTCCCCACGCGATAAAAAAGACCCAGTGCAAGCGTGCATTCCGTCGGAAAAGGGGAATTCCCTGCAGGACGCCAGCTGCCACCGCCGAAGACTTAGCTCCAGCACTAAAAATATCTGGAGTGTTCGTTTGGGAGTCTCCGTTGGCAGTCTTCGAGGAACGAGGATCAAGAGACCAATCGGCATAAAGCTCTGTCAAGTCTGGTATATTAATGGAGCTCAAGGGGCTACACCTAAGCTTCCAACGCAGTTTTAAACTGGAATTGCTAATGAATACAAAGGCTGAATGGACCCATCTCTACCAGAGGAACTGTTTCTAGCGTCTGCTGATGTCAAGACAGCGGGAGCAAGAGCACCCAGGTTGACAAAACCAGATGGACTATCCCACGAAATGTTATCTGAAATTCTCAAATGTGGTTTCAGTTTAAAAGCATTATATACAGAGTGTTGTTACGTTAATAAAGTGCCCCATAATCGCCAGATATATCACTCACGGAAGAATTCCGATGTTCCTTTGGGTTGTCTGCAAAAACCTCAATCCTTAAAGATGGATACTGTAAAATAGGAATTTTTATCATTTATTTGTGATTTCCTTACATATCCAAATACATTTTATGGAGAATATGTTCAAAAATTGTTTTTATACTTACTTGGTAGACAAGTACGTCTTTGTTTAATTTCAGAACTGAGGAAAGTGTAACGTTAGGTTTTAGAAAATTTCTAATTACGGTATTTTTAAAAATCTTTGTTGTCCAGAAGAAGAGGATACGATCACTGTAACAAGTCAACAAGCGCAACGCTTTGGCGTTCCCATACGGTGTGGGAAGGGCCGGGCGCAGCAACAACTCTGGCGACAGCGGGCATAATTGTCACGCAAATATCAGGCCCGCATCCGACGCTGACAAGGCAATTGTGGCAACTAGTGAGTCGAACGCGAAGTGTCAAGCCAGTACTGCGTCTATTAAGACCCAAGCGGTGGCTACAGAAATGAATGATTATCGCACGCACGCACGCGGATGACCCCTATAAACTATAAATACCAAGCAAACTGTGCATGTTTCAACCCTATCTGCGCATGACCATAACTATGTTACCATCACCTATGATTAAGGATTCTGGACGGAATCAGAAACGTCAGGCAACTGAAACTCTTATTCCAGTGATCGCATCCTCTTCTTCTGAACTGCTTCCTGAAACTCGCGTATTCTCTACTATTGGCAACCTTGTTGTTTTTTACATTATACACAATATGCTCCCGACCAACTAAAAAATTTCACGAACTTCCTATGATGAGTTCTCAGTAGTATAGAGAAAGAGATTGGTTGAAGGCAAATACGTTTACTTGGAACGGGCCTCAGATCATATTTCTTCGCATAAATGCCTTCCAATTCATAAGTAAAAAGATGCGATCTCCCCTATATGGCAAATACACCACTTATTGTGTGAAAATCCTGACTTCACATGTAACGGCAGGTCGGTCTCATAGTGATTCGAGAATTTAAAATATCTTAAAAATAGGGGGGGGCTCCCTTTCTTTCAGTAGGATATTTAAAGGCGTCCTAGCTTTCTACCAAAGATATAGGAGAAAGTATTTTGTTGTAGGTTTTCTATAAGAAATATTTGAACATATTAGGGTATCATAGGTCAAGGAGAAGATTTAATTGTACTTGAGCAGTCCTTTTTTGCAGAGTTGCAATTTTGCAGGCAGCTGGAGAGTATCTCTTTCAAAAGCCCGCTTTCTGGAATGACTAAGATATAATGGGATTGGTTTATATAATAATTGTTAATAAAAGCCCACTAAAACCATTTTTGATAATCGAAGATACATTTTAGAGTTTCGGCCAACATTTCATGAGATAGGCAATCTAGTGAACAGGTGGAAAGGCGCCAGACTGGCAGCAAATATTAATGGAAAGCCGAAGTGGCAGGTTAACAGGTTGTCTCCTCGGAAGCTCCGTCAAGAGAGGCATGGGTAACAGAAAACCCTTTAGTCAGTCGCCGGATTGACTTTCCGGGGATTTACACGGCTCTGTGTATCCATTTGATCCGCAATCTATGAGTCTAACAAAATGTGGTTATAACTTAAGCAGGATATAAGTAACAATCCACAGACTACTGTGGCGCGCAGTCAGGGTTTGGGGTTTGTGCGGGACTTTATGATAGTTTCATACACTTGTCCAAATCTAACGGTAGTTAGATAGAAACGGGAAT